TGCACACTGCAGTGTGGGAAATTTCAAATCCACCACTTTTTCATTTATTTAAGGTTGGGAAACTCATTTAAAATGGAGTAACCACTATATAGTGCCCTATAAAGTGATTAGGTAGATGTTTCAGATACAGCCATTATCTTAGCTTTTTTTATTATTATTATTGTGTGATACAGATAACAGATCAGCTAATTCAGATTGTAATTCTTTGGACAGCACATACATGTTTCCGTGTATGACAAGCAAAAGAAGATAAAACAGTAAAATAGGGGGAGGATCAAAGAATAAATAACTGATATAATCTAATGACCTAAGTCCCTTTTGACTCTAGTGGTGGAAAAGCAACCCAGCTGGCACTAGCAACGACCATGATAAAAAACTGGAATGACCTTGAAGGAATAGTTCTGTTTAAGACCTGAAACATTGTTACAGCAAATTACTTCCCTAGATATTTTTTAACAGGTCCATGAATAAAGATTGCATGTTTTGTTTGTAACACCTACTGAAACACTGTCTAATAAGCCATCTAAAGGGTTAAAGGAAACAGGCTTGAATCTAAATCTTAATAGTTGAAGACATTTCCCTCTCCATTTAAATGCTTTTGAAGATGTTTCGGATGTTTCGAAGAAGTTCAGAAGCTCTTTAGAAAAAAAGCAACATATCTAAATTATAGCAATGAAATTCCAATCGTCTTGCCTTTTAAAAAGTTTTAGTCTTGCCATCTCCTGGATTAGTGAAAACCTTGACCAGCATTTCTAATAAACTTTCAAAAAATGTTTGTCATTAGTGTGCTTTTGAAATTCAACTCATGCATACATTTTCTATGAAATATGACTTGGTGTAAACCAATTTTCCACTTTTTACTGTCCTGATATCTAAAAAAGCCAAAATTGGTTGAATTTTTTGTTTTAAATTTGCAGTTAAACTATGTCATAATCTCTAAAGAAGTGTTTATAACCCTGGTCCTCAGGGCACACGGTCTGCATGTTTCAGATTTTCCCCAGCTTTAACAGAACTGATTTCAATTAATTTCAACCAAATCTAGATGATAATCAGCAACTAACAATTGCGCAACCAAGAATTGTGCCAAGGAGAGGTGGCCCTCCCATGCATTTAAAACAAATTGGTTGAAGTCATGCAGGTTGAAGTCATTATCTATAATTATACAACAAATTGTATAGCTATATGTGATTGGATGGCAGCATGTGCAGCCCAACAATAAATGGCCTGGTAATTCTTTTGATTTAATTTTATCACTTTATATTTGTTTGCTATATTGATTTTTTTTTTAATTATTATTATTTTTACTTGTGATTTGGCATAGATTAACTACTAGGGTGCACACATTTTGCTTGTATTGTTTAATTTAAACTAATACTTTTCTTTAGAGTTGCCAGTTCCTGTGAGGCTGCCATGTGGGCTTGGCTGGGCCACTGAAGCAAGAGTCCCAGCTACAAAGAATCTCAGTCACACTGAGACTTAATTGGACTCTTCCACTAATTTTAGAAGAGGTGTAGGAAATTTTGTTTTTCCATTTTGTTAGGTTTTTGTGGTAATTAAAGTAGTAAAATTTAATCACTTGTAATTTCATCTCATAAGTTGTTGATTTGGATTTTTATAGATTAGTTTGGTCTTTTTGTTGTAGTTTGTTTAGGTAGATGTATGTAATGTTTCCACTTGTGTCAAAATGGCCTGACCAGCCATTATATAATTTCCCCTTGTCTGACAGTTTGTTAGGTTAATTAATACTTCAGTTGCTTGTGTCAAGTTTGCTCTGGTTGACCTTATTTTCTTTTTGGGTCTAGATTTATGTTTAGAGTTTAGTTTTGATGTAAATATATGTGTTTCCATTTTGCCCTCAAACCTTCCTGGTGCTTCTCTGATTTTTTTGGTCCGGCCCCTCACAGTGACCTATTTCCCAAACAACTAAGCCGGGAAAACAAGGTTTATATTTGATAGTTTCAGACTTTCTGAAATCTGTAGACACTATACAAGAAAGCCCACCTCATTTCCTCGACAAGGTCAAGGGTAACATTTCTGTTAATCTGCGCAAATGTCATCAGGCTTCCATCTCAGCTGTGTCACCTTCTTTAACAAGCTTGAGGTTACTTCTCACTGTCTTAAAATTCCATTCATGTTTAAACTATGACAATACAAACCTAAAAACCCACCCCATACACAGTGTACAGAGCAACCCAAACTCAGTGATTAACAGTCTTTTTATAATGCAACAGCAGACCCAGTGTGACCCATGAAATACCAAGGGCCTGCTGTGAGATTCCAGCTGATTTGTGTGAAGGATAATTGGAACAGGGGATCAAATAATACCAAAAAATAGGATCATTTTACTAAATAAAATGTCTCATGTTAATCTTAACAGAGCAATAAAGCCCATACTTCAGTGGTCATATTACTTAAGAGCTTAAGATGGGGCCAGTGGAAAGCGTTTGGTTGGTGGTGCTGGATGCTCTTTGAGGAAAACTGAAGCACACATAACGGGGATTAATATATCAGATTCCTAACTCTTTGGTTTAGGGATGTCTGTTATAAATGTACTTATTAGTTATGCATAAGAATTAAACATTTCATATGTTTAATACTGATACATATTGTTCATCTACTTTGGAATATTAACCTAAATGGTAAAAAAAAATGTTGCCTTCGTATGTCCAATACCAGATGGAACAGACAGTCGTGATGTCTGTACGGTGCCAACTGGAAAGTGATCGCTTTCATAGAGATATCCTTTCACACCGTGGCAAAATGGGATTTTACCAACTACCCATGTAAGGAGTTATTAAGCATTCCAAACCTTAATCACCAAGCAAAAAGGGAGGCCACATCTGTAATATCTCCCAGTGTGTGGAGCAGAAGCTAAAACACATTTAGCTGAGCACAACTGGCAGAGAACTGAAAGTAAGTATGATTTTATTTTTTTTCATTTACTGGGAAAGGTTCTATGATCGGTAACTAGTAAAGAGAAAATCAGAAAAAATGAACTAATATTCCTATTTGTTCTTTACTATATAACAGAAATTTTCTTAATTCCTCAGCTAGGATTAACTATTTAGACTAAAATACCAACTTGTCTTTTTCTGAGTTAAACTGTATTCGTACAAAAGTAGATTTGTGAGGATACTTCACCGAAAATCAAACTAAAATATACATAATATTAAATAATGTTTATTTTATTTGGTATTTATTAATTTATCGTCAGATAAATAGAAATAGTGTTAAGGGAAGAAGTCATAAAATTTAACCATAATTAGGACAGAGACATGATTTATTTATGTCATTTCTTTTGTTGTTGTGAAGAGAAAAATAGATAAAAAAAGATTCTTATGTTATGAGCAGATCTGTACAATAAACTTCCAGAAAACAGCCTTACTTATACTGTAGTAACAGGTAAAAAAAAGTGACAGAAGAAGTTGACCTTTATGAATTAGCAGAAGTCTACGATCATCTTGTCAAACTGATTGTATGACACATCAAAGTCATAATATATACTCCCAAGGTCCCATCTATGTCAAGGACAGATTCCTTTTTGAGTCACACTCTGTCTCTTTGAGTCCTTAAAATAAAAACACAGAAGTAACCCTGATGGCAATAATTCTGACACAAAGCTGTTTTTAGATTTTATTTTCTTTAAAAAGCTTTATACTCTGCTTAATTACAATCAGTAAAGAATAAACCCTAAAGTTTATATTTCCCTGATTCAGTTACATATCTTTGGTATTGTGGTTGGTTAAATTTTTGCCCTAAAGCTTAAAAACAAAACAATCATGTATTTTATTTTACTTCTAAAGCCCATTAAGATTGTAAATATAACAACTGCTACTTAAAAAGTTACTGACTTTCAACTTTGATGTTTGATTATTGCATTGAAACAACTTTTTGTTTTTCAAAGTAAAAGCTCAAAGCATATCTGAAGCCATGGAACAGCTTCATGTTGACTAAAAATGTGCTTAATATTTGTCTGAGGCCTGAGACATGCCTTCCCTTTCTATGTTTGGACATAAAGCAGTTAAATTGCTGGCATGTGTGGTACTAGGTGGGATTTCACATTCCTAATTTATAGTTTCCCAGTTTGTACCCAACTGTCTCCACAAGACACGCAGTACTCTAGGCATCCCATTTGAGAGACTGATGTCATATGGCAACATGTGACACACAAGGCCCCTTAAGACGCTGTTTCTTAACCTTTCCTGTTTCATGACCCTGTTTTATGTGGGCCAGCTTATAACATTCAGCAAAGGGGAGTGACATTAATTTCATTTGAAGCTATAAGGAAGAATAAAAACAACTGAGTGAGAATTATTATATTTTCATTAACCCAAAATACATATTTATTATTTAGTAATAATTTTAAGAATTGTTTTCATTTTAACATTTCACACTACTTACAAACAAGTAAATGTAATTCTAGCACATTTCAATTTGGGATGTAGAAATGTTTTAGAAATAGATCCATTCTGATGCTTAATAATTTATGATCTACTTAAAATATATGGCTATTGTTCATTTCTTTTATTACATACTATTTATGTTCCTGAATTCAGCTTTATATTCCAATGTCAATCCCTATAACAGTAGTGATGACACATAACATTTGTTTACAAGTTGAAAGTGACATCTTACTTTTGCAGCGAGGGAATACAGGTGGTTGTTAGCAGTAATGTTATAAGGCTTCCCAGAATTTATCATCAGCCTTGTTAAGGTAGTCTTTCTTTTATTAGCATTAAATTAATTTACTTTTCTATAGAGCTATGCCTTAGAATAAAGTGTGTGTTTCTAAAACATTAACAAACCATAAGTGAACAATGAAAAATTCTCACGAGTTATCTAAACTTTTTTTTTTTAAAAACTCCTCAGAATATAAATATATACTCATATAAAACAAAAAAAACATCTTGATAGCTGCATTTCTGTGTTTTTCTTATCTTTTTTCTGCTAGGGGGGAAAAGTACTAAGGCTTGATTTAAAATCAAGAAACAAAATCTACAATGAGTTCTAAAATTCTCCAAGAAGAGCCTAAGTCCTCAGGTAAGATTAATTCAATACTTTGTAGAACTTTCCTGCTTCTTGTCTTACAGGTGTTTTTCCTGTTTTTTTTTTTTTATTGTTTGTTTTGTTTTGTTTCCTGAAAATATTGTGCACTGAATATGATATTATCATTGATAATTTGCAGCAAGAAGGACCAGGGTCCAAATCTCAGAATAGCAGTATTCAACATTCATCCCCCCCCTGATATTCTCAGAGTCCTCTCCATATATTATACATATATAATACTAGGTTAATCAGCCTCTAAATTGCCCTTAGAAATTAGTGTCTGCACATGCTTGTTTGACCTGTGAGTCCCCCTGAGGCCCAGTGATCGACTGGCAACCTTTCTTGGTTGTACCCCGCCTCTTAGAGTACCTTCATCGGAGATAGGCACCAGCTACCCTGGAACCTTAGAAGGATTAGTGTGTATAAATGATAGATGAAAGGATGGATGATGGATATTTGATCAAAATAGAAGTATGTAAAAATTTCAACATAATGTATGTGTTGCATTTGCATCTCTGTAGTTTAAAAACAATATCAGTATGCAAAGTTCATTTAGAATTTGTAAAGCTTTTGCAATAGCAGCATGGCTCCAAAAGCCCTTACCCACCTACCTCCAAACTTGATACTAAACATCTGAAATGTTATGAGACAACAACTAAATGGTGTCCTATTTATAACTAGAGTCAGCAACTGGTATTGGATTGTAAATGTCTACAGTTTGGACGCTAGTGATTTATTTATGAGTTTTGTGGTCACCACAGTTTGGAGTTTGATACAGGATATTAATTTGATAGCAGTGTGCTAAATACCACTACCTTATACACGGGGGACCTTTAAGAATGCTTGTTAATTCAACACAGCAGTCTTTTTAACTCCTCTCTAAATATAAGCCTGAGAACATTCTTATTCCATTGGTACAATATATATATAAATATATATATATATAAAAAATCCAGATGGAATAGGAGGGTTTGAAGATAATCCATCAGTAATAGACCTCTGCCCTGACAATGGAGGCAGCCATAGAGCTGAACGGGTATGTATGAACAGAATAGGTGAGCAGTGAGTGCAATTAACCTCTCCAAACAATGTTGTTGTTCTTTTCCAGCTCATTAAATATGCCATTTTTATGAGCTGCACCAGTTAAAGTGTACAAAGATCAAAGTGGAACATCAGTTGCTTCACAAGGACATTTGTTTTTAAGCCTGATAAGCTGTAACTGTTGTGAAAAACATCTAATGAAAAACATGGCCTTCGCTTCCACTTTTACTGGCACAAAAATTAACTGAGAAGAATATGTTTGAAGTGCAATATGAAAGTAAGCACATAGATTTTAGGTACATTATAAGTGGTTTCCACATGCTATCAAATGTTATTTGAGGTAAGAAGGTTACCATAACCATGAAGGTTAGTACATTCAAAGTGATTAATTACAACAGGATTTTTCTGACGAGCATCAAGTAATAATAATATAGACAATTTAATCAAATGTAAACTTGTTTGAAAAACGCTGATGAGCTGCTATTATGTCAAATGCATTTCTGTACTCCTTTACAAGTAACATTGTTTTTTTTTATTAAATAAGCAAGAGTAACTGTTGTTCATTCCTTTAAAACTGATAGCTATATAAACTGAAAAACAGTCAACAAAAATACTTACAGTTTATTCATTTATTTGTATTTACAGATTATTTAAAAATAACATAAAAAATAAACCATGTATAGATTTTATATGAGAAATCAAATGGGATATTACAATTTTTTTTATTTCCAAGATACACTTCAGTGTCTGAAACCCACTAAGACTCATTCTTAAGGCAGAAGGTTGGAGCTCAGAATGGTTTATGACACGAATATCGGCTTGTGCAGCCGAGACATTTTTCATGGAAGAAATTCTCAAGTTTTCTGCCGCTCAAATCCAACGGTTTTTCTGGGGGCAATTGGTATGCAGAATAAAAAGACAGACTGCTTTCAGAGCAGACTTGGATTTTGAGAGAATCGATGCTCAAGCAACAAGGTTACAAGAATCTCCCCTGCATTCAGATGATATAGGAACATAAACCAACCACCCCAGAGAGATGACGCATACAATTTAATGAATATTCAATGCATGTCCTACAGCCGCAGTACGGCGGCTGGGAAAATAATGATTGAGCTAAAAAATCACAAAGGACAAAGTTCAATAATAAATAAGCTGCAAATGTAAAAAAAAAACTTAACATTTGCTTTAACTAATTTGAACAACTTCTCATTATCTGTTCGTTTATCAAAGAATACTTCTAAGAAGTTTGCATGTGACTTCTAAGTAAAACAAATATGATACTTCTTAGTGAGAAAGGAGATGTAGTTCAGCAGAGGCTTGTTGGCAGGTTTGATATTTCACACACAACTGCTGTATGGTGAGTATTCATATACAGCAACAGTAAAGTTATGCTTAATATGCAAGCTACAGGCGAACAGGAGCAGTTCAGAAGTGATGCCCTGGAACAGATGGCCTTTTGCTGTTACGGATTTCAGTAGCTGTCGGTTAAAATTATTGTCTACTAAGCCACCACAGATATTTAAAACATTGCTTGAAATTCATGACCACATTTTTTTTCGTTTGTTTGTCTCACTTTAAAGCCTTTCTTTTGGGAACATATTATGTCGATTTTTGCATTTTCAGCTGCTTTACAGCTTGGTTAATGTGTTTCATGTAATAATAAATGATAAATTAATTTAATAAAAACAATTGAGAAACATTTTCTGTGAGTCAGCAACAACTGTAATTATCAGCAAAAAGGAAGGCAATAGTGACCCCTGGTGTTAGTCAGATGTCAAACTACAGCCAGAATACATTGCAGATTTAAACAGTCATATATGATAAACATATTTGCATTTTATATCCATAACAACTGCAAAGGTCAGCGCATCCAAAAAGGATTAGACAATCACAATGTAGCGTACAAGAGGGAAAGTGAATCAAATCCATATGTAACTTGCAATCTTGCAACAAATAAAAAGTGTTTATCTTCAACACAGCTTCATATAGTGCAAACCTTGAAAAAATAAAGTTAACATAGAAATTTTGGGAAGACTTCAACATTGCTAGATTTGCTATACTCCAACCAATTCAGGTGAAAAGCTGCTCTACAGAAAATATCTCATTAAACATTGACCATCTCCATATGATTATTATATGCATATTATTGGTGGTTTTTATGATTTTGTAATGTTTCTGAAGTGTTGATGATGTAATGCGTATTTGATTTATGATTATTTTTGATGGTTTTAATGATTTTCCTGCACATTTGTTTTGATGTTTTTTTTTTATGTAAAGCATTCAGAATACTGAAAAGTGCTTAAAAATAAATTTTTAATTGCTTACTTACTGTCTTGCTGTTTACAGATTTTGCTAAGTGTGTCTATTTCCTTTGCCCTTAAGAAAAAAAAACAAACAAAAAAAAAACGCTACTTTCTTTTGGACTATTAAATACAATCCAAAGAAATACTGAAATTTGCTGTTGCAACCCAACAAAAGCTAAACGACTTCAACAAATATTAACATTTCACGTTAAAGCATAACTTTGAAGGCCTTACAAAATTGGCCGAGTTTATTCCACAAACAATTATATTCATGTTTGATGTTTAACTAAATGGAATAATTTGTCATGGTTCACTACAGTTAGTGTTGAAGCTGAAATGATATTGAAGCCTCTCTCTTCTGTTCTGTGTTGTGTAGTTGTCTCTGAACACACTTTAATCTCATGTGTGGTACCTGTGTTAAACGTTTCATAAAATATGCCATTAATGCCTTTTGTAAAAATGACAGAAACTTATATTTCAGTTTACTCTAAGAAATGCAGAAGACATAGCTTCTCCATAAATGTAAATATTTTAAGTCAATTCTATATGCAGCCTTGTAGTTTTACCCAGAAATAAATTTTTTTACACACATTGTTGCTAATCCAGATTTAAATTATGTGTATATTGCTGACATGCTTTATTTGAACACACTACTATCAGATGCTTTTAAGTTTCCAATCAAATAATTTTCTCCCAATCAAATGCATCATGTTTCTATCATGTCAAATATATATTTTTAAATCCCAACAGTGGCTATTAAGAAAAGGTCGAGAGTTCCTGGGGTTATGATCACTCAGTTTGTAGAGCAACTTCCTGCAGGAAAATCAACACCAGACTTTGCCCGGAAACCGATGACTACAACTGTTCAGGAGGGTAAATTAAATTACTGCACAGCTTAGTAAAACAACTAAATCATAAAATGTCACCGTCTAAAATGTCCTTTTTTTAAATTTTCTAAGGTAAAAAGGCATTTTTTAAAGCTATGGTAAGTGGAGAACCACCACCAACTGTTACATGGGGTCGCAACAAAGGTGAAATGGATGATACAGAAAATTACAGCACCAGATATGATGAAAGAGCTCGAGAACATGTACTCGAGGTGAGTAATAGGTCAAAATAGCAATTTTGACAAAACCCAATTAAAGCCAACTGTAACGTGATCCAAGTGCTATACTGTACAATATTTGATTAAACATTGACCATATGGCAGCTAATTAGAATTTAGCAAAGCAAATTACTGAACTGTGCTGCTAACTGAAGAAACCAAAAAAGGTGAAAAATGAGGAGAAAAGCGATATTTCTAAAGAGTCTGATTCAGTGAAAATAGCGTGAATTAAAGTTAAATTGATGAAAAGAGGAAGAAAAGAATGTCTGTAATTGTCTTCTAGTCTCTTGAGAGGAAATTTTCTAAAATCTAAAATCTAAAATGTTTTTAGTTTCCAACATATAGTGGTATGCAGAAAGATAGTATTGTGTTAAAGTTAGCAAGATCTGGGACACTAAAATATATCATTAGAAACAGAAAAGCTACATATAAAACACCTCTTTCTACAACATTTGCAAAAATCCCAGTAAGTAATTCTTTACCTCAGTAACAGCACTATAATCCAAGTATATATATATTCTTTAAATAATGAAATGTGATTTCTCACCCCATAATGAAATTTTTATAATACAATGTTGCTTTATCAGATAGTGAATGTAAAACTTGACCAAGCGGATAGTTACAAGTGCTTTGCAACCAATGAGTATGGACAAGCCGTCTGTGTCGTCACACTGAATGTTATTGAAGGTAGGATTTCATATTTTCACCTATTAAAGCAGAATATTTTACCACAGCAAAAAATTTGTTTGTTGATGTATTTTGTCTTTTCACAGGCTTCAAGAAGAAAACACAAAACGGTATCAAATGTTAACAGCAACTAACGAGATTCATCTTTTTTTGTCTTTTAGCAATCATTAATTAAATTTGTCAAGCAATAATTACTTAATGAAATTATTTAGACCTTAGATTATATTTAAATTAGTAAAACTCAGTCTTACAGTGGTTAAAAGATTAAGCAGTTTGTTTTTTTTCTAAAATGAATTTGATGCTTTTTTAGCTAATGTGGCAAAGGATCAGGGAACTCAGGATTTCAGATCAATGCTTAAGAAAACGTAAGCTCAACTTTAATTTTGCAACATTGAATCATTTAATGCTATGCAACCTGAAGGATCATATTGTTTATGTCTTTCCAGAACTGTAGTCAAAAGAAAAAAGCAACTCCCTCCACAAAAAGAGGGAGAAATTGATCCTAAACTCTTGGAATTGCTTATAAGTGCACCAAAGAAAGATTATGAAAGAATCTGTTGGGAGTTTGGAATTACTGACTTCCGCTGGTTACTGAAGAAACTTAAACAGATGAAAAAGGAGAGGGAAGATGAGCAATCAAAGGTACTGAATGGTATTATTATATAAGTGTATTAATTTAGAGAATTATGCTTTTCATCTAACGAGATACATTTTCTAGAAAGTAAAGAAATTGAATGTATATTGGATTTAACCGCTTTTAAAGACTGTTGGCTCAGTATTACAGTAACAGCTATTCAAAATGGCCCTTCCCAGCAAACTTCCAGCCACTGGAGCGACCCCTCCTTCTCCTTGGCATGCTTCCTTTTTTACACAATTTCCCTGAATTACAGGGTCTGACCAGGAGATGGCGCTCCTCTTTAGATCTTAATGTCCACAAATCATGAAAAAAAAAACAATATTTTAGCACAAAGTTTGATGTTTAAAGAAGAATTGTAGGGGACCAGCCAAGGGCCCATCAAGGAAAGTGGGGACGTTTTGACTGGCTACTACTGTAAATTTCTTTATCTTTGCATGAAGACCTGTTTGCCTGCAGCTAAATCAGGCCCAAATTATGTACGTCCATCATAGGTTGTAGAAAATCTGGACAACGTGAAACAAATTGAAGTGAAACCATCTGGAAATGCTGAATTTAGCTTCGACATGAAACTGCGGGATCCCAACAGTTCAGTTAATCTATATAAGGTAAATCAATCTTTCAACTGAGCCAAATAACTTTCTCAACAGAAAAATATTCTTTAATGAACAAAATAATAATTTTTTCCTGACCAGGATGGGATGATGATTCCATATGATGATGACAAAAACTCAAAGCACAGCCTTCAGAAAACAGGGACAAATTATGTTTTCAGCATCAAAGACCCTCAGAAAGAGGATGCTGGATTTTATCAGGTAGATGTTGAAGAAACCAATGTTCTCACAACCGACTTTCAAGGTAAACAGTTATTATTGCACTTAAATCAAAATTATTATAGTCGTATTAGAAGTTCATTTTAGACATGTAAAGCATAATAATATTTCCAACTTTCCTAGTACCCGATGTGGATTTTGTAGCAAAGATCAAAAGCACTAAAGTCACTCAGAATGAGGATGCCATCTTTCAGTGTGTTTTGTCCACACCAATTAACAAAATTACTTGGTCAAAGGAGGACGCATCACTGGAAGACGGTGGTAAATATGAGATCACCGTCTCAGAGGACAAACTAACGCACACACTGAGAATAAAAGATTGCCAAATGGCAGATAAGGGAGAATACTATGCCATTGCTGGCATTACTTCCAGTAGTGCGTCGCTCTCAGTCCAAGGTACAGCACATTGTCATTTTTTCTTATGAATATGATTTTAAATAAAATCCTACACCTAATTGTCTGTCTACAGGGTTTGGTAAAGCTGTTTGATGTTTAATAATTTATATCCTCACTTGCATCTGTGCTTTCATTCAGCTGATTCAGGTGGGAGTAAAAGCATCAAAGGTGGGGATGGGACTAAACTGGGGTCAGAAGAGCAGCAGAAGTTTCCAAAGGAAAGTGCTGAAACAGACACAGCAAAGCAAGCAGATGGTGAAAATGATGCTGGTGATAGATCAGACAAAGCTGCAAAAGAAAATATAAAAGATGGGAAAGATGGACGAGATGGAGGGTATGGGGGAGATGGGAATGGTGAAGACGGTGATGATGGAACAGGCAAAGGAGACAAGGATGATGGTGATGGCAAGTCTAAACATTTCCTGGGGAATGAAGAAGATAAAAGTGCAACAGATGATGCCAGTGATAAGAAAAAGAAACGCTCCAAAGCTGCTCTTTCGGATTCTGACGGTGTCTTAGGTAAAACATTCTAAAAACCAGATCATTTTTTTTTTTTTTTTTTGCAATTTACTTCACATGTTGATATTAAACATTTATTGTTAGCTAAATATATTCTGAAAATGAAGGCCTATATTTACACAGAGTAACAGTAACCTACAGACTTATATGTGCGTTCATTAAAGAAATCAAATTACTGTCTGAAATCCATCTAAAGTATTCATATTGACATGTTTTGACTTAGGACATTGAGAACAAATGCACCCATTTGAAATGATAGATAGAAAAAACAGCATAGATATTAATATCTGAATACTCAGTAGTAAAGAATGAAGGTTTCTATGATATTTAAATAATGATTTTACATTGTTTACAGATAGAGGGGTTCAGTTTGTTCGAGGACTGTCAGATACAGATGCCAAAGTTGGAGAACGAGCAGAGCTATCCTGCAAACTTAGCAGCGAAACCTCTGAGGGACGCTGGTATAAAAATGGAAAGCTGGTAAGTCATCAACAGAAATTAATTGAATAGTCAGCATGAAACATCTTAAGTTTCTTAGAAAAAATATTGTAATATTTTGCATCAAATTCCTTATCTTTATCTGATAAGCTGACAGAAGAGGATGGTGTAACGATAATCAAAGATGGCGCGTTACACATATTGGTGATTAAATGCTGTAAGAAAGATGACACTGCGGTGTATCGCTTTGAGGCTGAGGGACGTAAATCAGAGGCAACACTGAATGTTAAAGGTTAGAATGCTAATGAGAAATTTGGAAAATGTTTAAATGGCAACTTCAACGGCTGAACCTTTTCTTTTTTTCCCCTTTTCCACAACAGACCCACCAATACTTGACTCTGATGCTCTAGGGGAATTTACAAATCCAGTTATTGTTAGGGTGGGTGAAAATGCACAATGGAAGCTTCCCTTTTCAGGCGGAGCACCAATGAACATACAGTGGTATAAGAATGATGACAAGCTTCTGCCAGGGGTTAATGTGAAAATCGAAACCTCAGATTCTGAGAGCCAGCTGCGCCTCACCAAGTGTCAAAGGAAAGACACTGGAGAAGTCAAAATCAAAATCAAGAATGAGTTTGGCACTATAGAAGCAGTATCGAAACTGATAGTGCTTGGTAAGTTTATAAGGAGAAAATTGAATTTGAGGTTTGCTATCGAGAACAGATAATTGGTTTTAGTCCTTAACCTTTTCTCAATTTACCAACAGACAAACCAACACCCCCGCAAGGCCCTGTGGAGATTGTAGAAAGTGCTGTTAATTCTGTTGAATTCAATTGGAAACCACCTAAAGACGACGGTGGTTGCCCCATTACAAACTATATCATAGAACGGCAACAAGTAGGGCGAAATAAGTGGTTGAAACTGGGAGAAATCCCTGGCACCCCTAGCTACAAAGACACTGATGTGGACCCTGGCAGAAGATACTGCTACAGGATTAGAGCAAAAAATGCTGAGGGCATCAGCGATTACCTGCAGACAGGGGATATACCAGCTGGTGTATTACGTAAATATTGACCCTTTTTTATATGTGGCGCAAGTTGTTCATTGCTTATCATGTTGATGAAACTGGTTATATATAACTTAAGACATCAGAAATGTAATCACAAACAACAGAATTGCAACATAAAATAGAAAGAAGCTGTACTGCACACACATCCAGACATCCAAAAAATAAAATAATCTACAATGTTTTCCGCAGGTTATCCTGGACCACCAACGACACCTAAAGTAGTAAGTGCCTTCAACGACTGCATCAATCTCTCATGGAGTCCACCCTGTGATACAGGAGGAACCAAAATATTGGGATACACTTTGGAGAAGAACAAGATTGGAACAAACTATTGGAGCCTAGTAAACCAGAAAGAGCCAATTACAGGTATGATATAGTGAAATTAATCTTTACGTGGTTGAAGTGTGATGAGTTTTAGCAGTGCATGACATCTTTTTCTTCCCTTCTTAGATACAAGATTTGCAGTAAAAGATGTTTTTGAAGGTGCTGCATATCAGTTCAGAGTGTCTGCCATCAATCTATCTGGTGCTGGAGAGCCCAGCATTCCATGTGAGGCAGTTATTGCCAGAGATCCCAAGAGTAAGTCACTCGCACTCATAGCTCCTGATCTGTTTGTTTTTAAACGTATCTTAAATAAAAATTATAAATATATTTCTTCTCTTTGATTTACCCCACTATGGTGTGCTTTCAGAACCTCCAGGAAAAGTTAAAGACCTTAAATTAACATCCTCCAGTTACACAACTTTTTCACTGGCTTGGACTAAACCAAAAGAAGTGAAAGGGATAGAAGATGAAGCCCAGGGATACTATGTGGAAATCAGACCAATAGAGAACCTTGACTGGAGCCGCTGTAATGCTTCTCCAATTAGTTTAACTTCATACACTGTGCTCGGCCTCAAAGCAATGGCTGCATACTGGGTGAGAGTAATTGCAACAAATTATGGAGGGGATGGAGAACCCCAAGACTTGGATAATTACATCATTGCGATGCCCCCTCCTGGTAAGGAATTTGGTTGTTGATTGGTTTATATTTCATATTCCTTATTTTATATAAGTAAAAATGTATTATGGATGGATGGATGGATGGATGGATGGAAGGAAGGAAGGAAGGAAGGAAGGAAGGAAGGAAGGAAGGGATTTAAAAGCAAAACTAGAGTCAATTTGAGATTATGTAGATGTCTATAGAAATAATACTGACACTCGTAATTAAACAAACTCAAAAAAGCAAGGCACAATTCTACAAACATTAAATTTTAAAACTGTCGATAGAAATTATAGTGGGGTTTCTGCTTTTTCTGAAATCCCCTATGCATAACTGTGGTTCATTGACCAATAAGCACAAAAGCTACAAAATAACAAACAGATGGTGAACCAGAGGACAGTACAAAATATTTCTGATTTAAAACCAATATTTTTTCCCAGTCTCTGTACATATTTGATAAACATTATTTACCCCAGAAATACAGCCTTGGGATAACTAAAGAAAAAAACATATTATTAACCATATTCTCCTACTTGGAAAAAAAAAATCATAATTAAAACCTACATTTCTAATTCTAACATACAGTCAAACCAAGGTTTAAAGATCGTAACATGAAGACCTTGATGGTGGTGAAATCTGGGAACACTGTTCGACTCAACATCAATTACGAGGTTTGAAATATTCAATGTAGCATTCCTTTGCTTTGGGTTGTGAAAATGTGCTTCATTCAATTATTTTTTTTATGATTCTATTTGTATTATCTACAGGCTTCACCGATGCCGGAGATCTGTTGGCTAAAGGATGGAATTCCTTTACTCAAACATGTGACTATAACCAACTCTGATAGAGGATCTCAGTTATTAATTCCCACATCTGAGAGATCTGATAGTGGCATCTACATGATTACTATGAAGAACATGGTTGGCCAGGAAAGCTTCAGCATTGAAATCAGAGTTACAGGTAAAAATTCATCATATATAAAATTAATCATTATTCTTAGGACAACATTATTTTTGGCTTAATTATCTAAATATATAGAAAACCATGTGATAAGAAAATAGATATGAAGTTCCTCTATTTGTTAAAGTGACAGACATCCATCACTTATTAATGTATGAATGTTTGAAAACCTTGGTCCTTTAAAATAATTAAAAGCTGATCAAACCTTTACAGCAGATTCAAAGCATGAAGAAGATTTTGATTTTGTAGCCAAGCTTGCACAAACCAAGAAAGATCTACAAAAATGATGTGTCCACTGATTAAAAATGAAATAGTTATGGAATTTACATTTTTGATGTTGTTGATAACTCTAAAATTAGATTTTTTTTTTTATAAATAAACAATGTATATTTTTACATAACTCTAAAGTGGTATCTTAACTGTAAATATCAAACAAACTTAGGTAACTAAAAAAACTTAGGTAACATATCAAGCCTTTGAATTAAGCATATGTTACATCTGCATATATTATTGTGAAGCAGCAGCAAATTAATTGTGAAAACTACCTACAAAACATGAGACAAGAAGAGATCTTCTTGTCAAATCAATTTGAAATCCTTTGCAGCGAGGGATCTTCCACAACAGCAACTACTTTTTTTTTTTTTTATCACAACCAAAAGATAAAATGGTAAACAATTAAGCCCAACAATGCATTTTGCAATTAGGAGGAAAATCCATTGGCTGTAAATATGCTCTTCTTTAGAACTCCTTTTGTGGTGATTCTAGTAGTAGCCATGTGTAATATATTTGATTATGTAATGTCACTTTTTAACTCAAAAAGTTGTTTATTGGGGTATGTGTAACTTTTAGGAGCCTGGTCTTCAAATATTCCAAATAAGGCGTGCTAAATGGTAAAAGCATTTCTTTATTCTGTTTTTTGCACATGCAGTAAATATGTGTGTTGCAGATGATTTACAGAGATTGGTGTGCAAATTTTAAGAAGTGCACAGTAAACTGGTTTATTCTGCCCAATAAGCAGATTGTGTATTGTCAGATTGAGAGTGGCTGTAAAAGAAAAATAATGTTTTGAGACATGTACCTGGAGGTAATGATTATAATAATTACACTAAAGGTACATTTATAGTGTAGTTCACAGAGATAGACTGTCTAAAAGTGCTACAAAAACAGCAAGCCACCTTTGCCTGCAAGCTGCATTCCACTTTATTTGTTCACAAACACAAGAACCCACAGCTTAAATCTTTCAAGTCAGCAAAGTTAGCAATCAAAGCAAGTCAGCTCATCACATTGCAGTAATACGGTTACAGGTGGGACAATTACTGTAGCTCTGACTAAAACAACAGCTGCCAAGCCTAGAGCCGAACCAAAATGAACACGGCAGTGAAGGACATACTCACTGCCGCTGCTCTAACATGTTTTCTCAAAATACACTATCATCCCTTTCACACTAGCTGAAAAACACGGTTAAACAAGGGAACAATCTATTTTTAGTAGCAGTGAGAACAGCTAACTAACTTTGGTCTACCAGGGTCAAACCGACCTGCGTTAAAAACGCCTTACCTCTGATCGGCATGCTGTGGGAACACCAGAACCGGGTTGACACATTCATTTATGTGATACCATTGACTGCAACGTACAGACATTAACAGTCAGCCAATTCTGATCTAATAAGACAAAATAAATCTGTTTACATTCAATAAACATGGCGCAGCACTATTGAGAGAGATTCAGACAGATAACAGAGCAAAACAATAAAGCAAACTGACTACACACTGGCTTCCCTACATGTTTCTCTCAATTGTGTACTTTCATGAATTCTGGGGCAATGGTGACATCAGCAACGCTAACCCAGTGTGATGCTGTCCCCAGACATGCAGCCATTTTCCTAAATGCAAAATGCCAATTGTTAGCAGGTTGACCATTGTTTTAAAAACACCTGCTAACCCAGTATCTGCAGTGGGAAAAGGGCTTTATTAATCTTTTACAGTGAAGAGAAACAGGAAGAGCATACTGTAAAAGCACACATGTGGTTTCTCATTGGTCTGCTGTTATTTAACTTGTTGCTGTGACTAAATAAAACCAATTTGGGTAGGCAGGCACTAGGTGTCATTTTTCCCAAATTACTTCAAAGGTTTTGTTGAGTGTCCTTTCTTTTCCTGAACAGATTTAAGGGGCCAGTCCTAGATTAATAATATGTAGAACTTAAACTTTGTTAGCAACCTGGCCTTCACAGTTAGTTTGCAGGACCTTGATGTTCAAAACTATCAAATGCCCATTTTCTCTTAAATGGTGGCCTATTCAGTTTCAATACATTCCTTTTAAACCTTTCACCTGCATGTATGTTTTTTTTTTCACCCTAATCTTTATTTAGATGATCCTAAGCCTCCAGGTCCAGTAGAGCTCTATGAGAACACTCCAGGAACAGTGACTCTTTGCTGGACTCCCTCTCCAGATGAAAAAAGAGACGACAGACTACACTATATGGTATCCAAGAGGGACTCCTTCAAACGTACTTGGAGGACAGTAGCTGACAACCTTTTTAACAACAAGTTCACAGTTGTCAACATTATGCCTGGTCGCGAGTACTACTTTAGAGTATTTGCAAAAAACGACATGGGCCTGTCACCACCGTCTGAATCCCCTGTGTTTGCTTTAAAAAAGGAAAAAGGTCTGAGTCAAATTTAATTTCTTCCTTTTATGGAAATACCCAGCATACATCCATTTGTTTAAGAAAACAAATACATACACATTGCAGTTCAAATACTGAAAAGTATCTTTTCAAAGTTAGCTTCTAACTTTTGTTGTCACCTTTAAACTTCAACTGTAACTGGTCCTTTCAGGACTTGGTAAAAAGTGTCAGTGACAAAGGCAGGACATGTTGATTACTCCAATCACGTTTGGTAGCAATGTAAATGCACACATTAGAAATTTGGAATGTTTATTTAGTGTGATTTTCTTTTTTCCATCAAAGCCAGAAAGAATCATGTTACATGTAGAGAGGGTTTATTCCAATTTGAATGCAAATTACAATAGTAATTCAAATTTCATACTTACACGTTAACTCATAAATAAAAAAGGGACTGAGAAAAAAAGCAATGATGGTGAAATAAAGAGCTTATGCAAAACACATATAAACTAAGGATTTGTTGAGTATAAATATAGGCTGAGCACAGTGCCTTAAACACAGTACTTAATAAACTGGCATTCCATGGCATTCTATATCCATGGCATTCTATGTCGTATTCATAAAGCAGCTACTAGAAATATATTTGGTTCCCAATCAGCAATGTACTGTATCTGGAAATCATGTCCCTGTATGATGATAACCTTCATGAATTTATGTTCCAGGAAAATTCAAAGTTGACATGCCTCAGATGAAGGCCCTGGATTTTGAGTCACCTCCATCATTTATTATTCCCCTAAAGAGACGTACAGCTCCTGAAGGCTATGAATGCTATATGACCTGTGCAGTTAGGGGTGATCCAACTCCACATGTGACATGGTACCACAACAACATCAGCCTCAACACAAACACCAACTACCACATTACAAATGTTTGTGGAGTTTGTTCCTTGCTCATACTGCGAGTGGGACCCAAAGACAATGGGGAATACAAAGTAGTCATTGAGAACAAACTGGGAAATGCAGAGTCCTCCATGGCACTCAATGTTAGAGGTAAAATACATATTCTGAAAAATGTTTTTTACTTTGTGATTAAAGATTTTATTAGATGAAGTTTTTTTGATACAGCTCTGAAAATTTGAAGATACAAATGTGATTTTCTTTTTTCTCTTTTTCAGAATGAAGTTGACATCAATGACATCAACTATCACCCTAAACTGTGGGATTCTTTAAACCAACTATGGAAACGTGCCTGAATTTTAAACTACAAAGTTCTCAATAATGTAGTCGACTGGTATTTTCCCTACAAATAAACTGACAATTCTTTGTTGGAAATATGGGAATCTTTTTATTTATTAACATCTTAGAATGATTATAAAAATGTACTAAGCAATGTTACACGTTCTTTTTTCTATATATTACGTATTAATGTAACTAGTATTGCATACATTACATGTCCGTTCCTTTTTAGATGTTCAATTATATATTCTGTATTATATTCAAGACCTAAGCACACTAATAATATAAGAAAAAAATAATACATTTATGAGATGATAGATCACTGAGGTAGATCTGAAGTATGCCTATTTAACATTTCTATAAATCCTTTTCTGAAGATCAAGACATAAAAAGGGCTACTTACTGTTTTCCTAATCAATGATCACTAACTTGTTATAAATATAATTTTTAACTCATTTTGCCAACAAGGTCACTATAAAAACACCAGCAGAAACAGGACGCTTATTAAATATAATCATAAAGAAGTAATTTAAATGAGATACAGTTTTAACAATTTTATGGTTAAAAAAAAACAAACTTTTTGAGTAAATAAAGGGTGAAGATGTTAAGAGGTTAAATGAATATAGTATGTATTACCTCTAAAATTATGCTATACTTACTTTCATAAATTAAAGGCAAATGAAGACATGACATAGAGTGGGCCTTAAAATTACTTTATATCATTAGATTGCACAACAAAATGTGCTCAGATGTAATACTGTATGTACTTGCTATCTCATAATGCAAAAGCACTGATTTGATCTTTGAATAAGTATTTTTGTGTTAACAGTTTTTCTACAAAACTCTTTGGAACCATCAGTTTTCCTTTTTGTACCTTTTTTGTTGTTTTTGTGGCTACGTTTTTAAACCAGCAGGAGGTACTGTTTGCTGTTTTTAAAAGGGAGTACCCTGTACAAAGACAAGACACTTTATTACCCCAAAGAGGGGGAAACTGTATTATTTAGTTCTTTTTTTATTCTAATTATTTTGGTGCATTCCAATAAATACAATACTGTCCCTTTTTATATAATTTTATTTACTTAAACTATGGATAAAAGCTAAATTCAGCAAGGATACCAAGTCTATCCTTATTTCTGTACATTTTGAGTGGTTTTATAAAACTATTGAAACTTTTTAACTTTCTTTTTACTTTGCAAACCCCAAGTTAAATCTATCACATGTTGATCTTTTTAGGTGAAACACAGAGAGGTGGTGATAATGTTACAGTAACCACGCTGGTGAAGTAGAAATAAAAGGAACCATGATTTACAGAAAAATATCCGGAAACCAACAACTTTTGACTCATATACCTCTAAATGCTGTGCAGCCGTGTGCTCTCTAAATTCACCTAATTAGCAGGTAAAGCCTGTGTAATTTAATAAAATCCACGTGTTCTGTTAGTCAGAGAGAATTAGTGTATAAACAGCATGATTAAGACCAAAGAACAAATAAGAGAGGTCAGGGAAAATGCTGTTGAGATCTTTAAAACAGGGTTGAGTTATATAACATCCTACCATCTGAGGGAGAACTATTCAACTCATTGTCATGACTCTCTCACAACTAGCTAGAGAGAACAAGATAATCGGGCCCGGATAACTGGATGCAAGCACCTTAAATAGAGGCAGGAGAAGGTGGATCAGATGATCAGAAACCGGGCAGAGTTGCACAGGTGAATGAAATGAAAAATTAAGCCAGACATCAGCGCCAAGATCATGACACTCATCCTCTGAAAATAGAAGGAGACATGGTGGTCCATCTAAAGTGACTGGTAAGAAGAGCATTAATATAAATAAAGTACAATATCAAACTTTATTTATATATATATTAATACATATTGATATCACTTAGTGCACAAAGTATCTGCAAATAGTTTCTTTGAAATCCATGTGTAAACCCTTACAATATAAACATACACAACTGCAGTCTGCAGCCCGCCTACTCCTCCAGCTCCCCCACATTCTCAAACTTGCCTTCTTTCACTCTGATATGTGTTTCCATCCTGTTAAAATCAAGCTGGCATTCATCAAACTGAAACAATCTCATGTGAATTTTAGCTCACGTCAGGCTTTTCTTTTTTTTTTACTTTTTATAACTTGTGATTTATTTTTCTTTATTCGGTGTTTTGTGTCACAGAAGAGCTGTATGCAGTGCTCCCAGCAGTGCAGGAGAAATGTCATCTCTGCTTTCTCAAAACAAAGATGAGCCACTTATCAGAAAATCTCTGTCTGACTCTTGTCCAGCTTCATCTGCTACCAACACCAGGAGCCTGAGGGTAAAGCCGGATTGCCTTTTATTCTCTTCTATTTAGAGTAAATGTCTCAATGGATTTTATGCAAACACAGAGATTTTCATGCATGACTGTTTATAGAAATTGTTTAGCAAAACTGTATTTGTAATTATAAAAAATATATATATATATACATGTATATATATACATTTATAAATATATAAATATGTATATCAATATATATATATATATTAAATATATATATCAATGGTTTTGAAACTTGCTTTTGAGATGTAACTTTTTACAAACAAAAAAGTACTGTATAACTTTGCTGTATAACTGCTTTGTACATCAAATAGGATACTTTAAGACAGTAGCTCTAAAATCTGTGTTCAATGGCTCCTTAAGCTTCATTGTCATTTAAGTTAATTGTATCATATGTGGAACGTTTGGATTCCACAAAAAATATGTTGCAGATTTTTTTTAGGATTAGATGTACGATTCTACTGAACAGAGACAGCCTTTACTTTTATGTTAAACATGATTTAAAACATTTTAATAATGAGAAAATCCATCTAAAGCTTGTTGCTTGTCTTTCTTTGCATGTCAGTAATTCCGGTAGAAAAATTACCCCCAAAAGTTGACGATGTTTTCTAAAGTGGTTATTCTTTTTGTGAAAAAAGAGTGTTTTATCTCTTCTCCAAAATAATCTATATAGTAATCTATAGAATTTTTGAAACTTTAAAGACCATATTGAGAAACCTGTGAAGTAAATACGTATTTTTATGCTGATATTGATTAGAATTTCATAACAGACTTAGTAGATGCTGAAAACATTCAGCCTTTTCTGTTTTTGTAAAACTCATATGCCATTAAAGACTAAAGGAAGGAGATATATGCTGTTGTTATGAAAATGAAAGAGAAGAAAATAACAAAAGTGGTTAGAAGACACGATGAGAAGAAGAAGAAGAGCTGAACAAATACTTTAGAGGACTTTGATGGTGGGAACTCAAAGTATTTATAGATGTTTATGTCTCAGCTAATCCTAAGGGAAGCTAATATTTTCCACTGGTCAGCTGGAAAAAGTCTCTCAAGGGGATAAGGGGTCTGGAGAAACATTCAGACAGGGAAACACTTTTAAGCAGGGATGATGGGATAGTTACTGGACAGGTTGATCAGTATCTGTTAAATGATGTCGAAGAGTTTCAGCCAAGACGGTTTTGGCTATAAATAGTTTTTTACCAATCATAGTAACATTTCCTCAGACACCCTTCAAGGGGTTGATTTCAGAGTCTGGTGAAGATCCAGAGGTTCTTTAATTATCTGACAAAAGGTACTGCAGTGTTTATTTGAAGTGTCTGCAGCCTGAGGTTTGTCTGTATTTCTTAATTTATTCTGTTTGACACCAGTCTCTTTTAGCATGAATCCCTTTTTTAGTTTTGAGATTAGTTTTTAAAATGTTCTTTATAACTGGAAGGCCCAAATCTGCAATTAAAGCCATAGGTAATTGCTATGGAGTAGTATTTATTTAGGTGCATTTACATTTATACAAATGGAAACGTAAAGCTTTAATGTAACTTACCGGTAAAGTAAAATCTGTAACAAGCTTAACATAGCAGAAATCAGTTATGTTTGCTAAAGTAAATGTGAAGAGGATTGTTTTTACGGTACATTAAATAACATTCATCTTTTTAAGTCATTTATATGGGTGGCTTTATCTTTTGCTGAATTCTAATGTCACCAAGTTTACAGTGAATATGTTTCATAAAAATGCTTAAATTATTTCTTTATGCATAAAAATACTAATGTATCAGTAAGAGCTACTGTCCTCTTTAAAAAAAAAAGCACTTATAATCTGAGTAACATCTCAAATAAGAAAAAAGATCCAACACTGTTTGACATTTCACATCATGAACTTTTGCACATGGGGAAATTAATTAAATATGTGAGACACAGGTGTCTTTGAATTTGCATGCAAAAGAGGCCTATGTGGTGCCAAAGTTATAACAATTGAAATGCCCCGGGGAAACTGCCCCCACTATTTATAATGGGAATTCAACATCATAAATCAGCCGAGCCTAAATAGAACTTTGTGTGACAGAACAACTCAAACAGCTCTTACGTTGCAAGTCTCGTTCTCCCAGCCACATTCAATTATGTGAACAAATGTACATGTTGACACTGAGATAAAAGTAGTCAGCAAAACTTAATTCAGTGTTTTGCCAAAGAAACTTAGCATACTAGTCTGCAGGAAAATGGAATCTGACTAACCATAACGTCTACTGGCTCAATGATCTGAACTCATTCCAAATAGGACCATTGATATGACATACTGTAAAACACTCCACTGTAGAAAAGTAAAACTTTGGCCCCGTCCACACGAAGTCAAAACGAACACGAAACGCGGATATTTTCCAAAACGTTTGTCGTAAAGACGGAGACGTAAAATAAATGTGATCGTCCACACGAATGCATGAAAACGCTGCAAAATGTATGCCAGGCCTGTAAGTGGCGCTGTGGTACCAAAGCAAAAATAAGCGACAAAACTATGTCGTCGGTATTGCTCTG